ACACACAGTAACACACACACAAAAACACATATGTGAGATTTTGCAGGTAAGGCTCATAATGTTAATTATTAATTTCAATTTCAAACAGAACATGAAGATCTGTACTGGATTGGTTAGGAGGTTGGCAATAGAGCAAAAGAAAAACAAATGTACCCAGAGATGATGCCCATGAAGCAAAAAAAAAACAAACAAAAAAACAACCCAAATATTGTAAGCATGGACGTATGAATATTCCTAACCTGCAAAATGATTCCTCCATATAATATCAGCGATAGTCATTGGTGGGCCACCGGCAGGGTGTGGTTTACCTTTGTCATGGTCAGTCCTTATCATATCCATTAAGGAATTCTCCAAAGAGTGCAAGCTAAAAGCATCAAAGGGCCGATTCCGGTCCTGCAACACAGCAAAACAAGAAGAAGGTTAGGATCAGAGTCACCACATCATGATTATGTCACCACATCATATACAAAATAAACACTCCTAGCGTCTTATGGCTGCTACGGTTAGATCTACTGCCCGTTATGAGGCAAAGTATCATTAATATTTGAAATGTGGATTTGAACAACCTCACATGAAGGACACGATCTTCAAAAACTGACAAACATTTAGCCTTGATGTTGAAATTCCAGTTGGTTGCTTACCTTGCTCAAGGGCAAATCACTGGCAACAACTTGCATCTACCAGCAGAATCCAGTTTTGTTTAAAAAGCAACACAGGGCTTGAATCCATTCTTAGCTAATCTAAACTAATATGTAAATTAAGAGACTACATGTTACAGGAGAAAAGGGTAAACAGAATGTATGCATCAGGCCTGGGGATAATGGTGAATACAGATGATATTGAAAAAGAGATATGAATCTAAGTCGAAGCCTTCTTAACTCTTTTCATGTCAAAAAGCTCCAGTGAAAAGCAGAGGCAGGATTCTGCCCTCAGGATTTTTCTGGATTTATATAATTTAGAACAGAATTTCTTAACTGTGAAGTCTGTAGGTGGAGACGTAGCAGAGAAACATATTTAATCTGTGATCAGAACATTTATTCCTCTGGCTTTTCTTGTAATTGATAAAGTAATCCTCACTTTCCTCACGACACTCTGGAGGTTCAGTCCAGGGTATGTATGTAATAGAAAAATTATCAACATTTTAGTCAGTCATTTTTTAAAACAAAAATGCCCCAAATCTCTGGTTCCATCCTTTTAAATGTGAATATTTGCTTTCATAGTCCTCTATCATAGGAAAGTGAATATCTTTAGGTTTTGGACTGTTACAAAAAAAGTATTTGAAGACATCTCTGGCTCTGGGAACTTGAGAAGGACACTTTTTATTGGACCAAATCATTAATCAAATATAAAATATGAATTAAATATAATCATTAGTTGAAGCCATAGATCTAACAAAGACAGTCTTTCAACAGCAGATCTGCCATGCCATATATAGTAGCAGTGCTGTTTTTCCAATGCTAGTGTAAATACTATACATTATAAGTTAAAGTACCAACATCAAAATGATTTTCAATACCCCACAATGAAAAATCTATAAATATACATATATAAAAATATATTTCTGCAGAACCCTGTTAACAGAAGCACAATGTCTCTGTCATAATTTTGACTTAAATCCTGAAATACGTGATCAAAGGACTGTGTTTAGATGTTATGAAAGAACGGCTTCCACCTGATACAGCTGGTTTTAACGTTGCTTTAAGATGCTTATGATGCAGCAGGTTGCGGAGCCATTTGATACCTATTTTCACCTAGTGATTTACAACAGCTAATTTCCTGATCCTATGAGGTCGACTGGTTCAATTCAGTCCTCCAATCGGACACTCAATAGTACATCAAACCCTTCAGGGTTAAGCTGCTCGCTGCTGATGAAACGTTTAGACGCCCAGTGTGTGAGTGAATTTATGAGAATGACATGTGTGCCAAAGGTAAAGCCTGAGAGTGGCCTAACCGGAGCTGGAGGCCGTAGCCTTGGCAGCTGTGTCCTGTGTCCGCTGCCCAAGCCAGGGCCACATTGTTTGCACACCACAGCTATTGTTGCCCATTCGGCTGAGCATTCAAAAGTGTTATTCCCTTCACTCTGGACCCGACAGCGCCACGTAGATAAAAATCTGCCCACTTGGTACAAACGGTAAACACTTAAAACGCTGAGCTCTGAGTTTTCTCCCCCTCCCCTCCTCTCCGACACATGCGGACGAGCAGAGTGACGGGTGGGGGTCGGAGAGCTCAGTGTAGTCGAATGACCTAAAGAGATCATGTATACAAAGGTCCCTAAACAGACTTTGCTGTTTAACACATCATAAGAAAGCCTGCATGTGGAGCGCAGGTTGACCTATCTTGACTACACTGCAGCTCATCTTTCCTCACGACACATAAACAAGATATAAGAGAGCGCTGAGGGAGATCGTGATCAGAAACAGACTAAGCATTTAAGATATGGCTGAATACCTATTTTTAATGGATAAAGTCTGCTCAGAAAGGTTAAGGGTTGCCAGATCCAGTAGCAGATGGTGAGTTTATTATCTATTGTTTGTTTTTTTCCTTCTTAAACTGCAAAAAATGCGAGCAGCCATTAAATTTATATTACATTTATGTAACACGCAATCAATCAAAGGGAAGAGGCCCAAAGAAAAAACCCTGCCACATCTGACATTTAGATTACATATGACTCTTTAAAAAATAAACTGTATAATAACCTTATTAAACCCTGTGTAAATCCACAAAATGTCACCCACAATATACAACTTTTGGATGTATTTATAATCTGTAACAGATGCCAGTGAAGAATTCAAGAATCTGTTCTAATTGTTTAGTCTCGAAAATGTCAGAAAATAGTGGAAAATTCTAGGTTGTCCAAGGAGACGTCTTCAAGTTGCTTGATTTGTCCGACAGACGGAACGAAACCCCAAAAATACTCAGGGTGGAAGAAGAGAATATTCTGCATTTTTGCTTCTTAAACGACTTAATCAATCATTGAAATTGTTTTCAATTGACTAAGCAACTAACTGTGTTTGAGCACGAATGTGAACATTCCCAGAGTGCATGAGTCAGCATGTTGGTTGCCTTTCAAGACCAACTTTATTATAAAGCTCATTTAAATAAACACAGGGTTAAACCTGTGTCATCTGTAAGCTGAGACAAATGCATTGGCTAAATAAAATTGCATGTTTAAGTGGAAAATAAAGCAAAAATGACCATAGAAACCAGCTGAATACATCATGTATATCACACGGGTTACACCCTCAAACAAACTCCTGCCGCTTCACATGACCATCAGACGGCATTTGACTGAGTCTCCACCTGTCAGTCTGCCCACTAACTTCCAACTTCTTGATCTGATACGACGCGATAACGATCACAGAGGACCACACAAGCCACTAATATCACTTCAGATCAGTGTATCTCCCGAGAAGCTCATGTGACTTTGTGTCTCAAGCCTCACGCTGACATGTTAAGTTGAATTCTGCACATTCCTCAGCCTTCCAGCGGCAGCCAGCAGCAGGCGAGTACGAGCACATATCGGAGCACACGGGACTCAACACATCAACCCTGCGCCTTATCTGGGGCGCCTGAAGAAGACTGAGGTAGCATCTACCTGGTCACAGCAAGTACACCTGTCACCAGCAGGGACGGGGGCCGGAGTGTGTGTGCGTGTGTGTGGACCCCTGCCTGCTGCTGGGCTCAGGAATTTGCCTGACTTCAGTAAATGGGACAGTTGACATGTGGCACCCTGACCTTGCATCCTGGTGATAACTCCTCTCCAATTATGGGTGTAATTGCTAAACAGCTAAGTGTGAGTTACAGCCAGGATTGGATCCCCGAGGTACCCTTAACCCCTAAAAAAACCCTCTCTGTTACACTGAGATTATACGACAGCAGAATATATACTGATACAACTATTGGTATCATAGGCTATATATATCTGATCTTATAGGGCGTCAACCTGTGAAAAAACAGTAAAATAAAGTCTTCTGTGATTCTGGGGGAAAATAACCCTGATGACAGAATCAGGGTTCATCGAGTTAGGCTTGAGACTTCAAATGTTTGCCCCCCATGTCCTGCGTTATAAACAGAGGGCTTGAAGTTTTTAACAGGCAGGGAAAGTCTAATAAAATACGCCATGAATTATGGGAAATGTAGGATCCAGCTAGACTCATACTAGGCAATAAAAGTCACTATATCTCGGACTCTGCTGCTCCAATTCTGACCCTTCTTTTGTTCCTCCCCCATCTTCATGGAAGAACATTGCTGGAGTTAATTTGCAGCAAATGTATGAAATGATATTATATTTCTTAAGGCAAGTCTGATGAAGATCTATATGCTTGAAAACATCACTACCCTATTTAAATTGAAATGTGAGCCGAACATTGTGACTATTTCCTGCATTGTTTTATAGAGACAAACCTCCCGGGTATCAGCGGCATCGTGACGAGCTGACATTGCAAATAGTAAGATATAAATATGAAAGCAGAGCAGCTTATTTGCGTCGGAGCTGCAACTAAGAATTATCTTCATGCTCGATTTATCTGGCGGACATTTTCTTCATTAACAGATTCATAGTTTTTTCTATAAAAGATAACAAAATAATGAAAAAGTCCCATCAAATTGCTTCACTTGTCCGACCGACCCGATGATAGGAAACAGACAAAAGCTGATAATACTCCCATTTTAAGAAGCCATTTTGCAAACTTAAACTCAACATTTGCTTGACTCAAACAAAACAGAGATTATCCGAAGATTCATTTTCTGTCAATTAATCCCTTCAGCTCTAAGTGGCTTATACTGTATATGAGTGAACTATTGTAACATGTCACTTAAGCCCTAATGTTTCATCTGGCAGCGCTTGACCACATGAGAGTAGATGACTGTACTTCAACTTTGCTATTTGCCCGAGTTTCACTTCAGTAAACACACCACTCAGCATGGCCCCTTGACCTTAACTGGAGCTGTAAGTCGGCCAAGTCAAGAGAAAAGAGATAGAGGCACTCAACGGAGGAAACCTAGGGAGGCCTGACTGACACACACAATCATCATCTCCTCAAAAGGCTATACATTTTCAAGCCGGTTGGAATTTCATCCCACGTCGGGCTGTGTTTCGTCTGCACATGTAGTCCCTCTCTGTAGCAACAGGTGAACATTTTGGCTGGTGCTCCGTTCTCCCGAGTCATTGCTTTGATCGGGTGAACAAGTACTCCTTTTTAAGTGAGCCGGTGACTTAAGGAGGGAGTATTCAGCTGGCTTATTTTTTTTTTATGTTGGTTTGTTTGTCAGGCAGCATAACTAAACATAGGGGGGGTGGGAGGGGGGGTGGGAACACA